TGTTTGGTTTGATAGTTTATTTATTCATGTCTACTATCCAATGTGATTCGTATGCTTATATGATTACCTTGAATGTGATTTGGAACGCTTTCCTAAATCTCATTCTTACTGGAAGAGTTCTAATCATTCATACTCTCATAGAGTATTCTAAATCCATATCAAACGGTTTGAAGGTTAGAGATCCCTTGTTGCGCATTCACTTGCCTTCATGACTAAGTGGCTTAACCCCAACGATGCCGTGGACACCCCGATGGGGTGACTTTGACATAATCAAATATCAAGGACTTAACCACAAGACAACTGTGATGCCTCAGGTCAAAAGACTACTTTGCATTATCCCAACCATGAGTTCTCATGTGACATGAATATGAGAACTCTTCGTTGATCGTGTTCAGTGAACTCATTCTCTATTGAGCACCTACATACTTGTCTTGATGTCACACACACCAATGACTCGAGAAAGTCACTCTCCCTGAGAGAAGACACAACACGTACTGATCTTAATGGACTGTCAATGCCTAATTGGCAATCCTATGATCAGGAACGTTTAGGATGTGTCTACGACAGAATGGCCTCATGAATCTAAACTTCTTCTTAGATTAGATTGCATTCTCCCAATCACATATTCCTTGGACTTTATCGTTTAAGCATATAACATTTATATGAGACGGCTCAAACAATAATCTTTGCCCTTTATAGTTAAACTAGATTAGTTTAACATGTGAAATGTTCGTAAAGTATCATCATATGATTGGTTTTAGGGCACATTTCCACTTGGCAATCGGCCCGCAATCAATGACCATTTGTTTCCAAGCAAGCTGTGAAGCTTGATGATGAGTGTAGACATTGAAATTTCGGTGAAATAAATATTGACAATTGTATTAAAATTACAACCCCCATTCATTTCACCTACATCATACACTTACTTCACATAAATCATACACTCACCTCACCTACAACACACACTCATCCCACCTACAACATCCACTTACTTCACCAAACAAATGGACGGTGGTGATTCATTCTCAAAACCTATAAATAGGCTTCTCCATCAAGCAATAGGGAGGATTTTACATACATTCTCTCTACTCCCAAATTAGAAGAGAATTCACATCACACCAAAGCCTTGAAGCCTCGAAACTTTAAAGCTCTCAAGCAAATCCCGAAGAAAATTAAGAAAGCCCTCTTCGTTCTTCGTCAAAATCCTCCTTCAAGATCAAGCCCCAACAGCCCTTGAAGAAACTTCCACTAATTCAAGATCAAGTCCCGACGGCCATTGAAGAAAGTGTTCATCATTCATCATCCGTTCATCCTAAAGATCAAGCCTCAACAGCCCTTTAGATCAACAACATCAAATCTACCCATTAACCCATTACAAAGATAGAATCAGTAGGCTAAATTGTAGAAGAGATCATGTAATCAAATCATTATTTTGTACACGTTCATCGCAGGAATTCCCATGTTTACAAATTTGGCACGCCCAGTGGGACCATTCTCTACCTCTCATCTCTATCTTTGAATCCGCAAAAAACACATATGGCATCAAAGAAGGCTCAAGTTGTTCTCACAGCCAATGCAAGGAACAAGAGTGCTATCACCCTAAACGGTGTCACTTCGGGCGTCACGACTCGAAGCAAGGCAAGAGTTTTTCTGTCGCCTTTTCTACCCCTGCATCAACCCCGCCGAAGGAACAAGAGCACCTGAGGCACGAACCTGTGATCACCCTGGCCTCGCTAAGGGTGCCAAGGGAAGAAAGCCCAAGGAAGTACTTTAGTTCCATGCTTTTCGATGCCGACTCAAGCGGTAGCTCAGCCATGCAAGTCATGACCATTGGAGCGACTTCAATCGATGAGCAGCTGTCTCATATCAATGAAGCGATCACAAGGCTAACACGGATTGTGGAAGAAAAAGACCTGCAAATCGCCACACTCGTTAACCAACTAGATGCGAAGCCCGACGTGAAAGTCGAGCAAGGGGATAATTGAGTAAAGCAGGAAAACGACGAGGATGAGAAGCCTCTTGCAGAGAAAGTCGAAGAGAAGCTAAAGCTAGACCAATTAGCAGCACTCATGTGATCTCTCTCTATCCAGCAGCTACAGGAGATGATCGCCAGCACCATCAAGGCACAGTACGAAGGAAGCTCATATGACTCCGTACTATACTGAAAACCCTACTCCAAGAAAATTGACGATTTGAAGATGCCGAGAGGGGTTATCAGCCACCAAAGTTCATGCAGTTCGATGGAAAGGGAAACCTGAAGCAACATGTCGCCCATTTCATTGAAACCTGCAACAATGCTGGAACAGAGGGAGACTACCACATCAAGCAGTTCGTGCGCTCACTGAAAGGCAACACCTTTGACTGGTATACCGACCTCGAGCTCGAATTTGTTAACAGTTGGGATCAGCTAGAGAGGGAGTTCCTCAACGGCTTCTACAGCACCCGTCGCACTGTAAGCAAGCTGGAGCTGACCATTACAAAACAATGGAAGGATAAACATGTTGTCAACTACATCAATAGATGACGTTTGTTAAGTCTGGATTGCAAAGATCGACTTTCTGAAACCTCAGCCATTGAGATGTACGTTCAAGGTATGCACTGGGGGTTACATTACATCCTTTAAGGCATAAAACCAAGAACGTTCGAGGAGCTGGCAACTCGTTCCCACGACATGGAGCTAAGTATTGCCAATCACGGAAAGAAAGAGCCGATCAACAACTTCAAGAAGGATAAAGTGTTCTCCCTAAATGTAGACAAAACTGGGAAGAAGCCCCCCAATGAAGCGTTCACCGTCAACACTACGCCCATCAAGACCTCATCCGCGCCTATCAAGATCTCCTCCAAAATCAAAGCAAAGGAGATAAAGAGAGGTGAGCCTCCTCGTACCCAAGACAGGTACAAAAGCACCTTGAGGGAATTGGAGCAGAAGGTGTACCCTTTTCCTGACTCAGACATAGATGTAATGTTAGACGACTTGCTGGAAAAGAAGGTAATCGAGCTACCCGAATGCAAGCGGCTAGAAGAGATGAATCGCGTAAACGATCCTAAATACTGTAAGTACCAGCGAATTGTGAGCTATCCTGTTGGTAAGTGCTTTGTCTTCAAAGAACTTATCATGAAGCTAGCGCAACAAGGGCAAATCGAGCTCGACCTGGAAGACACGGCAGTAACACATACTACCACAATTGCTTTTGGATCCTTCAATCCTGTACCTCTCCAAGCGACACCTGACCATTCCTATCAATGCTTAAGTTGCACGATACCTTATGGCAACCATCGCCGGGGGAAAACGAACAAGATGCACATACCGATGATGAAGAATGATGGACATTGGTGACCTACAAAAAACCAAGGAAACCAAAACCACAAGCCACAAGACCAAAGGTGGAACAAGGGAGAAAACACCATCGCCGCAACAGTAGGAAGCCCAAAAGAAATGTAAAAGCTGCTAAGCCAATGTATGCTGGGGAATCTATGGAGCAAGAGCCATGCATTCCTATCTTCTTGCACAAGTACTTCCCGAATGACTTCTTCCAACAGTGCATTATCGCTACATGTCACATGGTCGAAGTAGAAATGGAAGAGCCCTTAAAAGGTAAAGTTATCACCACTGAGGGAGAAAAAACTCTCTCACGCTCGAAGAAGGTCTGCTAACACACTTTAGCATCGAGGAAGCGCTACAATTACCAAAGAAGATGCGAAGAGCACTGGCAGCAACCTTGGTAAGTCCTGATGATCACGAAGTGCAAGAAAGCAAGAATGAAAGCTTGAAGCTTCGGCCACATGAATGTGCCACATGCTGTGCCGTCGATGACGCAATCCACTTCACCGACGAAGACTTGCTATTAGGATCCAAGCCTTACAACCGTCATTTCTTCGTCTCTGGGTACGTAAGGGAGCACAGAGTCAACCGCATGCTTGTGGATGGTGGATCAGCCATAAACATCATGCCAAAGTCAACAATGACTACAATCGCCATCAAGGCGGATGAACTGTCCCTAAGTCGTCTACTAATCCAAGGTTTTAATCAAGGAGGACAAAGAGCGATGGGCATGATCCGAGTGGACATGACTATTGGTGAACTCAAGTTAAGTACGATATTCCACGTGATTGATGTAAGAACCTCCTACAGCTTGCTTCTAGGAAGGCCTTGGATCCACAAGAATGGAGTAGTGCCATCCACCACCATCCACCAATGCTTAAAATTCTACCGAGAAGGAGTGAAGGTGATCTATGGCGACGCCAAACCATTCACCGAACCCGAATCACATTTCGCAGACGCCAAGTTCTACATGGATGAAGACATGGTGCCCGAAGCTCTTCCAAAAGAGATCAAATCCACGGGTAAAGCAACACCTAAAAAGCAGGAGTGGCAAGCCAGGCCCAAGAAGCAAGAAGGAGAAGCTATGCCGTCTTCAAACAAGAATAATGATGAACTTGCTAAACCTGCAACAACT